ACAGGGGACAACAGTCCCTGAGGCCTGTGCCACCCCTGAACTTGGCTTCATGAGAGCAAAGCAGTTCCCTTTTCTGCTTCTATCCGTTGGGGCTGGATTTCTGACACTTGTGCCTGAGTGAATCTTGACTAACAGATTTTACCTTGGTAAGAACTCATGGTCTACTGCTCTGCCTGCTGTAGGAACCCAGCAGCGATGACCCCCGACTGCCCCGATGTGCCCTGAGTCTCCTCCTGTCGCCTCTCCTGCTCCTCTCAGGAGGGAGTGATGCTGACAGGGGCAGCACTCAAGTCTGGGAAACAGAAAAGAGGAGGGAGAGTGGTGAATTCATCTCCTTGACAAAGACTTTATGATGATCTGTGATGTGAAAGAAGGCCCTAAAGTGGCACTTGGGGGCACAGTGTGTTAATCAAGACCCTTTCAGTGACAGAAAATCAAGAGAACCCAGATTAAGAGGATAAATAAATAAAGGAATGGCATTTATTGGCTTCGGTAACTGCAAAGTCCAGGAGAAGGGCTAACTTCAGGCATGGCTGGATCCAGAGTCTCAGACAAAGACATCAGGGATTGGTCCCTGTCTCTCCCCTCTGCTTTTTTTCCTCTATTGATTTTATTCCCAGGTAGTCTCTTCCCACATGGGAGAAAAGATGGTCACCAGCAGCCTCAATTTTTTTTATTACCAGCAAAGAAGGAATGTGAGATGTATAGAGGATAGTAAGGTCAGATAGAGTTGGAGACTCTCTCAATTAGGAATGCTTTACTCTGTAGTAATAGAACATCCAGCTAATGGGACTTAAATGATAGAGGTTTATTTCTTGCCTATATTCGTTGTCTAGAGATGAGTAATTCCAAGGCTGGTTCTCCCTGCATGCGAGGGGCCCAGCTTCTTTGCTCTGCCATCCTCAGCATGTCAGCAACATCGTCCCTCTGGATCACAAAATGGCTGCTATAACACCAAGCATCATATCCTCACACAGAGGCATTCTAAGAAGGAAGGAGAGAGGGAGGGAGGAATGGAGAGAGGGAGGG